GGGTTTCTCTCTCGGCGCGGCGAAGGGTGGTGGATCGTAGTAAACGGATAATCCAACGTTCGACAAAGCACCGTCGTAAAATAATAACGAGGCAAATATTTGCGATCGTCCTTTCGAAACCGTCTAACTGGTCGTTCGTCGAAAAATTGTGCGCGCGACCAGGGTCCGTCGTAATCTCGTACGTGAGCGTCACCTTCGCCGAGAAAAAGACAGACGGACGGATCGCTATTGCTAACGACGCGACGAACTCGACGAACCAGACAGGGAAAAAGGAGGGACGTCCGTGTTCTGTCCGTCGGTTAATCCCGTCGGGATTTCCAACGCTCTCTTTCTCTACCGTCCTTCTCGTTCCTCGCGTGGTCCCACGATTTGCCGATCGTTTGCTCGAGCGCTCGGGGATTCGGGTGTCTTCGAAATTCCGTTCGATTCGAGGAGACTCGACGAAGCTCGGACGGGTTCCACGAGGACGCGAAAAGGGTAGCGGCGACCGTTCTTTTTCTCCTTTCCCCGTTTACTTTTCATTCTTTTCTTTTAACGAACGTAGATTTTTGTTATCGCTCTGGGACAGGAGTCCGGCAACGAAACCGGATGTCCGCCCGCGCAGGATGTGACGTCAGAACTGCTGTTCGCTGGCAGGCCAGCGAGCGTATACCGTAAACCTGCCCGCCCGCCCTTCCGTCCTCTCTTGCTTGCTTGCTTGCTCGTTCGCTTTACTTGCCTAGCCCGCCTGTTTGCCTGCTACGCAAACATTTTCGCTCCACTCCCCGCACCCTCGCCTAGACAATTTACGCGCATACGGGGTCGAGCGTTTATCGTTCGTCGCATATATTTTTCCTTCCAGTTCGCCTACTTTCTTTTCCTTTTTTTCCTTTTTCTTTTTAACGACGACACCATCGGAACGAAACCGTTCGAGAAAATACGGACGATGTTTTCGTGACCTAATCCTTTGGTTTTGCGGTGTTAGGAAAACAAACGGTCGAGTCGTGTCGGTAAGGGATCGTGCGGTGCTCCGATTCTTTGATTTTCTAGGGCGAGAAAATCCGTAAATGCCCTGTTTATTCGTTTACTTAAGCGGGTGTCGCCAGAGAGTGGTCTTCGAGGTTAACGAAGGTGTCGCGCGTTCGTCGTTCGGATCGCGATAGATATCGACAAATTCGATCCCTCTTTCTCTCGTATCGACGAAACCTCATACAAACGGGTAACGAGGGAGAGAGGTTACGAAGAAACGAGGGCCGAAAATCGTCGCATCGAGGCAAACTAATAACCGTCTCTCGTCCCGCAGCTGCGTTCCGAAGCTAGAAAATTAACTCGAAAATCCTCTCGACTTAATATCCCATTACGGTCTCGATGTGAATATAGTGGAGCACCGCCGACGACCTTCGACCTTTCGACGACTGATTTATTACCGCTTCGCTCCCTCTGTTTCTTCGCGCGTCCCTCTCTCCACGGTGTCTCTCTCGCTCTTTCTTCTCTCCCTTGCTCGAATCGTTCGCTCGTTCCCTCTTTTTTTTCCATAAACTCTCCATCGATGTATAACTCGGCAAACGAAATCGCGGTCAAATTGTCCAAGATTATCGACCGAATGCGCTTCGACGTCGACGATTTTATTCGTTTCGCGAAAATTCTCCGAGAACTCGTGCACGCTATCGAAGTTAGGGGCTCGGAGAAACAATTTAATTAATCGGAAGTACGTCGATGCTCGTAAATAAAAAATTTTCGAAGCGAGCGAATAATTTCCGTGGCGGACGATAATCAAGGACGAGAAAGACAACGTGGCAGGGCTGTTTTTCGCCGGTGAAGGCCTAGCAGGCACGCTACTCGAACAGCCTTTAGGCGCGGATTTACGAGGGTGGCGCTTAACCGCGTTTGGAATTCGAGAAGGATGATCGTAAGATGTTCGGCTAACCGAGGTCGAGAGAGATTAAGAGGGACGAAAAGCAAAAGGGCGAGAAAGAGACGCGAGGGAGAGTCGGAAAGTTCTCGCGTTACGCCACGCGGTCTGCGTTTCGTTGTTTCGCGGCTCGTGACGGCTGACACTCGACACGCATCGCGCACCCCCGGAGGAACCGTGCTTTACGCGTTCGTCGTCGAATCGTCGTCGAATCGATCGCGAAGAGCTTTTTGCTCGAACGTGGAACACGATGCCGAGAAACGACGTCACGAACGAGCGAGAGAAATCGGTGAAGGATCGATAATTGGCAGGTCTCGAGATTCATGGTTCGTTGGTCGTTTTTCGAGACGTTGGTCTGGTCGGGTTGGAAAGTTAATGGGGCCAAACGAATCCGGGAACGGGGGTAAAACCTAACTCGAGCGTGTTTCGTAAAAAACACCAGAGAAATCCGACACGCGGCATTCCCTCGGAGTCGTCGAAACACGCACCATCGAATCTCCAGTCGACGGTTCCACTCGTATTCGCCACTCTCGATCGCGGTGATCCTTCGAACCGGCTAACGCGTCGCTTTAGTTTGCACCGTCCGCTTCCGGTATGGTTTACGGTTTATACGGAGTATAAGCCGTCACCCTCTCGCCTTCGGTCGCTCCTCGTGGCGTACGCGAACGGTCGCGATCGCGGTCGACGTCGTTTCCGTTCTCGGGGTAAGACCGCGTCGATGATTCAATCGCGGCCACTTCTTCTTTTCCTTTTGTTTCTGCTTCTCGATCGAGAGGAAACCTTTGTTTTCGTTCTTTCCTACCTCCGCGTTAACTTTTCAAAATCGCGTGACTCACGCGTCATACAACGTCATACAACGCGTACTGGCTAAAATACTTAGGTACCAGACGGTATTTATCGTTCGACTATTCGTTTTACGAACATCCGACAACGTTAATAAACCGCAAATTACTTGCCGATGCAACTAACTCGTCGCTAACGATCCGTCGAAGCGACGAAACTTTTTGATAAGACTGTAGGCGGTTATCGAAACGCAGGAGTAAAATCGGTAAACCGCGTTGAACCGCTTCCTCGGCGAAAGAAACGTCGAAATTTAAGGAAAGTCGAGTCGTTGAGCGCATCGAGAGCAAAGTTACTTTAGCAAAGAATAGTAGCAGCGATTCGACGAGAAATAGATGGTCCGCATCGTGGTCGCGTGCCAATCCGTATCGTCTTATCGGAGTTATCGTTTTCCATAGTTGCACCGTTACGAGTAGTGAAATTTTCTAATGGCGAAACGAAGACGACGCGACGGAACGAACGCGGGAGTAGGAACGGAAGAAACGAAAAGAGGGAAAAAGGAACTGGAGGAAGAGGGCGGCGAGAACGATAAACGGTCCGAGCGAGAGGGAGAGAAGACGGAGACGGGAACGAATACGTGGAAGGAGACGAAGGAGGAGGAGGAAGAGGATCAAAGAGGTCGAGATAAAGGGGCTATTGAAATCTCTGAAAATCTCGTCGTAAACCGCATCGATGTACGTCGTCTCGGTCGCTTACGTCGTGGATAACGGTGAGCGTTTTTATGAGGCTAAGAAGAAGATAAGGACAACCTCTGCCCCCGATGTACGAAACGTCTTCCGTTCGACCAGCGAGTTCTCGCTACCGCTTCCACGGAGAACGTTAACCTCGTTTCTCTGGGCCGACGTCGCTCGAACAACCCTGGAGCTAGGCGTACGATTTTCTCCACGAAACTTTACGAGCTACAGCAGTTTCGATTGTTCGGTACGCGTTCGCGTTAACAGTCTCGTCGGCGGAATAGGTTCGGGGCCAACGATACGCTCTAGTTTCGCTGGTGGAGCTAACGCGAGCTAGAAAGAGGTTTCTCGGCGCGACGTCGATCTCGTATTTTCTTCGTCCGAATGATTGATCGGGGTCGCGACTTCTCGCCGGCTTCTCGACCACTCTTCAACGACCAACTTTCCTTTCGAACGTTTTATTTCGCGACGGTCGCGTTACTAGTCGCGATTCCTCTCGTATTTACGTTATTCGGATGGGGGACGACTCGTACTTGGACCTTTCGCGAAAAATATGTTTTTTAATAGAATTCGCCACGAAACGAATCGTCAGATAATCCGGCAAGCCTGACCTTTCCAATTCGATTAGGTAACGTCAATAAGGTCGACTGAATGTTAAACGGTCGATACAGCGTGTTTGGTCGAAGATATCGGAGCCGGAGCAGTCTACGCTCTTCTCCGGATTCGTCTCCGTTCTTCTTTGTTTTTGCACTTACCTTTCTCTTCTTCCGTCGCTTTACCTCCGTTTCCGCGTTCGTTCCACGTTCCTTTCTTTTCGTTCCCGTTCACCCTTCTGTCGCTCACTTACCTGCTCGATCGACCTCGCTTTCGACGGTAGCCATTTACCCAATCGTTTCGCGAGCATGCGATCGTTGATCGATAAGAAGATGCGCCGATAGCTCGACGATAAGTAGAGCGATAAGCGAGCGCTTTCGTGGACAGCTTGATTTAAAAATGAGAACATCGTCTTCGCTGGAAACGCGTGTACGTGTAACGAATCATACGTTTTCTGGTTGTTCCATCCGTTCGAATCGTTCGGTACGCGGCGTACGAGAGCGGGATCGACTCGAACTCGCTTCTGCCTTTTCGTTCCGTTCCATCGATTCTTCTACGAGAAACGGGTAAGCGTCGTTACTCTTTCGTTCCGATTCCGAATATTAGAGGCAAATACGAACGCGACGCGACCGAGGAGAATACGCGAGTACGCGCGACCGCTAACGAGCGACAGATAACGGCGATCGGTTATTTTTGTAACTTACTGGCTAGCAACAGTGGTCGGAACGTATCGAGTACGGTACCTTCGACTCGCGATCGATCTTCGTCTCGCGACGTTTGCTCGACTTTCGTCGCGGAAAACGATTTATCGCTAAAAATACGATCGGTGATCGATCGGCCGATCGAACTTTGACTGGTTTCGAATCGGGCGCGATTATCGACAGTTTATTGCACGGTTCGCGTGCAACGGCGAAAACGACAGATCTGTTTCGGCCGTACGCGTCCGTGTACTTATTTATATGTTTTGATAGGCGGTTAAAATTAGAACGCGATGTTCGCAGAACCGATCGAGTACGTGGACGAAGAGGCGAACTACGCGAACGAAAAAATGCTAGAGATCGTGGAAGAGAACGGGGACGAAGAGGAGTATGAACGGAGAACGGACACACGGATGGTTTCGAAAAACGGCACGATAATTTTGGAGGTTTTCCGAGGACAAGAACAAGGAGAAGACCGGCAACAGCAGCTAGAGTACGGAAAGCGCGAGGGCGAAGAAGGCGGGGACGCGATGGGCGTGCTGGAGGCGGGCCAGCAGGAAATTGAAAATGGCGCGATCGCGAAGTCGAGCAGCCTAGAAGCTGCGGCTATTGCCGTTTCGACGAACCACGCCAACGACGCCAGCGCCACGTACGAATTGCGTTCGCTCGATTACGAAGATTCCGTGTTTCGAGAAAGGTGAGAGGGCAAAAGTTGCTTCGTTTTCTCGAACGCGGATCGATATCGCGCGCGCGATATTTTAACGAATTTTCTCTGATCGTTTGTCAAGGAGTTATCTCGAGGCAGAATCGCGATGCTACGGGGTTGGTAGCTCGATCGACGGGGAGGAGCAATGGGAAGAAGAACGCGACCGTCAAGAACGACAACAACAACAACAACAACAACTGCGAAAAGGGCAACTCGAGGAGCAGTGTCGGCAGCAACAGGTTTCTCGGTTCCCCCACCAACAGCAGCAACAACACCATCTCCAACAGCGGCAGAACCACCACCATCGAACGCGGTACGTCGAACCGGGGGCGAGTGAGCCGTTCGTTTCGAAGGGTGGGGATAACGAAGAGGCGAGCGAGGGCTCCGCGTTGCCGGAGGGAAAACGAACCGGCAGTCACGCGGCTCGTTCGACGATGCATCGTTACGGTATCGAAGCGCTCTCGCCGACCGCGACCGATCATCACCACCACCACAACCATCACCTCCACCTCCATCAGCAACATTCGCAGTCGGACGAGTCCCAACGCACCGCGCTTTCCTCGACGAGTCATCGTCGCTCGGACGAACACGAATCGCAGTCGCGCTCGCAGTCGCACTCGCAATCGCAATCGGCGCGGCAGCAGCAGCAGCAGCAGCAGCAGCATCGTCAACAGCATCAAGAGATCGACGAGGACGCGGAGAGAGCGAACGGGATCACGGCAGCCATGAGAGGTGCTCGGGGAGAGTTTAATCTCGGTGCATTGTTTCCGAGTCTCGGTGCTAGCGGTGCTGGTAATTCCGGAACCGAGGTTGGATCGACCGATCATCATCATCATCATCATCATCAACAGCAACAGCAGCACCATCATCCCCATCATCACACGTTGGAGGAGGTGTTGCCGGACGACGCGTATCTTCAGCATCAGATACGCGCCGGTAGCGGAG